AAAAAAATTATTCATCTCTGATGTATATCAGGTATTTGAGAAGACCGTGGCCTGAGAAGGGGGCATCTTAGTCTTCAAATTGACATCATTCCTCCTCCATATTCTGGCGAGGTCCCTGACAGCAGACTTGCCCAACTCAACACATCTGATTTCCTGACTGCTGGTACTAAGGGTGTTGACTGTTGATTTGAGTAAGATGAAATCCTTGACAGTTTCAATCTTTACTCCATCTATCTAATATTAACTGTGGGTCCTGTAGGGCAGACCTTTGTTTTCTTGATGTTAAGGTGCAATCCATACCAAAGGCTGTAGTCCTTGTTCTTCTGCAGCAAGTGTTTCATATTCTCTTCACTTTCAGCAGGCAAAGTTGTGTCATCTCTATAACGAAGGTTGTTGACAAGTTTTCCTCCAACCCTGATGCCACATTCTTCTTCATAGAGTCCAGCTTTGTGAACTATTTGCTCACCACACAGATTGAACAGATATTGAAAAATGATACAACTGTAATGCATCTCCTTCCTGATTTAAAACCATGCAGTGTTCCCTTGCTCTATTAGGGCAACAACTTCTTGGTCTAAGTATAAATTCCACATGTTGTTGTTGTTCTGTACCACAGAGTTGGAAATGACCCATAGCTGACCCTCCGGAAGGTTTTCAGAGGCAGTTAACTGCAAAGTAGGAGACTGCCCATCCTTCTCCCAAAGAGCAGTTGGTGGCCTCGAGTCATATGCCTTCAGGACTGCAGTGTAGCTTCTTTCACTAGGCCATCAGAGCTCTGCATGAACACAATTAAATGTTCTGGGATTTCTGTTCTTCTCAATGTTCACCATAATTTATTATGATCCACACAGTCAAATATCTTTACATAGTTGAAAACACACATACACAAATAGAGATTCTTTTGGTATTTTCTGCTTTCAGTCAGTATCCATCTGACATCAGCAATGATATCCTTGGTGCTGCAGCATCTTCTAAAACCACCTTGAATTTCTAATAGTTCCTAGTTAGGTTTTGAGGTAGGTACTTGCTTTGAGGCCACCAGCTGCTCCACGAAAGAAGGATGGACAGTATCCTCTAAAAATCAGTGGGTCAGCTATGAGTTGGTCTGACTCTATGGTACACAGCAACAACAACAAAAGGTAGGTTCATTCCCAATTATTTTATCTTGTGGCTGACCTTGTAAATGGTGTAGCTTTCTTGGATTTTTTTTTCCATGTTCTCTTTGTTGCTATATGAAAAACTCACTGATTTTTTTTTTTAAATTGATCTTGCATTCTGCCACTCTGCTAAATTGATATTAGGTCTAACGGGGTTTTGTTGAATCTTTAGGATTTTGTGTGTACACTATTACATTGTATGCATATAGTGACAGCTTTACCACTTCTTTGCCAACTTAGATGCTTTTTACTCCCTTCTCTTTTCTTTCTGCCCTGGCAAGTACTTCAAACACAATATTGAGTAGGGGTGGTGGTAGTGGACATCCTTGTCTGGTCCCTGTTCACAAGGGGAATGCCTTTAAACCTTCTCCATTGAGAATGATATTGGCTCTTGGTTTTGCATATATGCTTTTTACTATGTTGAGAAAATTTCCTTCTATTCCAATTTAGTTGACTATTTTAATCAGAAAAGGGTGCTGTTTTTCTCAAAGTCCTTTTATGCATTAATTGATAGGATCATGCATTGGTTCAAAGACAGACACGTAAACCAATGGAATAGAACCCAGAAGAACCCAGACATTAACTCATCTCCCTACATACAGTCAATTGACATTCTGCAAGGAATCAAAACGTATTAAATGGGAATTCAACAACCTTTTCAACAAATGGTGCTGGCAAAATAGGACATCTACCTGCAGAAAATAAACAAGATTCTTATTTCACACCATGCACAAAAATTCAGTCATAGTTGATCAGAGACCTAGAGATAAAGCCCAAAATTATAAGGATCATAAGAGACAAAATGGAACCAAACTTAGAATACTTATTCTATGGCATAAATAGGCTTGCAAATATAGCCAGAAATGCACAAGCAGGAGAGGACAAACTGAACAAATATGACCTTCTAAAAATTAAGTCCCTGTTGACATAAAAAACTTTTTCCAATAGGGTCAAAAGAAAACCTACAAATTGGGGGGGGCGGGGAACTTTTCACATTGACATTTTAGACAAGAGTCTCATAATGAAGGTTTACAAAATACGATTAGGCCTCCACAAGGCAAAGACTGATAATCCAATTTAAAAAAAGGGACAAAAGACTTTTCACAAAGGAAGATGTTCAGATGACCAACATACAGACACATAAAGACATGCTCAAAATTACTGGCAATCAGAGAGATGAAAATAAATCACAACAACAATGAGATATTATCTCACACCAGTAGCAGTAACAAAGTCTAACAGGAAGACAAGCAATAAATGTTGGAGAGGGTGTGGAGAGATTGGAAACCTTTCCAATTGGAATTGGAAAACAGTACAGCCACTCTGGAAGGCAGTTT